TGGAATGTAACCAGTTTCATTTTAGAGGCATGACATAGACAAATATAATGAATATCTTGGGAGAAAAGCAGCAATATTTGCTTATATGTGTTACCAATATTCACAGCTAAATATAACGAATATTATGACCGAAAAATCGTAAAACGAAAACGCTTGCCTTAAAGAAAAGATCCGTCTGATGTATGCATTAGCCGACTCAGTTTCCATGAGTACCTGTTAATCTTGGTCATTAACACTAGATTTTTAGCCAAAAATCCAAGCATTAGAAGATGGAAGAGGCTGAAAACCATCCTCGATTTCTTTGTAGACCGCCTCACGATTGACGCAGTGCGAGACACCATCAGACAGGAAACAGGCCCGTTGGTAAACCGTGATAAGAGAAATTTTATAGACACATGATGAGAGCCAACAATCTCTCCAGGATGAGATAGCCCCGTATAATTGTTTGGTTCATACACCTCTCCGATTTTTCTAACTGGAGTAAAGGTTTATCCCTTGTTTCCTGTTTAGGATTGAGTTTCCGGTCCCTTCTAAGATTTACTTCAACTGTATACTTGTAACATATCGGCTTAGTCACTGAAAATTTATTTACAACTAGCACTAGAGCCCGGCGTTTTCCGGGGATGTAACAGTAAGAGATAGATCAAGTATCCACCATCATAAAGACTGAAAAATAAAGTTGACAAAGATTATTGTTTAAGGTTGACGGACACGCATGTCTTAATTAGTTTTTTTTTTTTTTTTTTTTTTTTATGAATTGGTCAAACCCAAACTCAAACAAAAACATTGTTTTCAACTGTTATGAGTCTACCGATTGAATAGAATTTTATTATAAACAATTGTCTTGTAAATGAAATTTTTAAAGCATTCTGAATGTAAAAATAAAGAAAAAAGTGTACAAGACAATAAGAAACACTACCTGCCAAAAAAAGTGGTTTTGTTAAAATTGGTTGAAAAATGTAGGAAATCCGATCTCATATATAAACGAGCACACACACACACACAAACAACCTAGGTTTTATAAGTATAACTCGATATGAGTTTTCCCCCTTTCATTCTGGCGAGTGATGCCTCTTAATCGTGTTTTCAAATTGATTTCGTGCAAAAACAATTGTGTTTTTCCAATTTTTGGCATTGTCAGAACCACCGCAAGGTAATTTTTACGCAGTCCTGTGAAGCTGTATTGAAATCGGTTGAAAAATGTAGGAAATCCGATCCAATATATAAACGTACAGACACACACACACACACACACACACAAACAACCTTGGTTTTATAATAAGTATGATTTATTTATTTACTTTTCGTCAATGGGAGTAGATAGGTTTGCCTATCATCTGGTTTACACTGCTCCCCGATTTTCTGAATAGGAGTAGAGGTTTATCCCTTGTTTGATGTTTAAGGTTGAGTTTCTTGATGTTTATAAAGTCTACTTCAACTCTATACTTCTAACGTCTCCGCCTGAACTTTGAAATTTTATTCGCTAATTAAATCTTGACCACTACACGTCTAGAATTAGTTGTCTACTTGTTAACTTGCCCTTTCTTACGTTAATACAACTTAACACAGTAGCCCTCTACCGCGAGAGAGACAGGGGAAAATTGGACTGGAAAATCATTTACAGAGATTCCAACATTGGTACGCAACCAAGACATGTAGCGGGAGCTGCTCAGCTGCGGAGCGACTCTACATCCACCCCCTGATCATAAGATGAGGATGATTCTTTTTCGATCAAGCATGTCATCTTAAAGACACCGTGTTATAACCAATGAAGATGCGCAGTGTACAAAAGAAAATGCTTCCATGCTTTTTGCAGAGGTATTTTGGTAAACTGAAAGAAATATCAAATTAAAGTTGCCTTACACATTTCCTAGACTAAGCGTACTGAGAGCATCTTGTTCTGAAACAATAGTTTGTAACCTTGTAAGCATGCACCCGAGGCCGTCGACAGCTTCAGTTCCAGTTGAACGTCGGTATGAACAAAAAATGGGAAAGGCCCAGTATTCGTTGAAAAAAGTTGAAAATATCCCACGGCAAGAAAAGAAGAAAAAAAAATTCCGATTCTAATATAGAGGTTTCTTTATTCACGGATTTACCTAGCTTGGTTCTGCGTTTAGGTAAGTGGCGGAATATCTTCGCTGATACTCTTGTCTTTTCGCACGAATTACTTACGGGCCTGATCTTCCCTTCGGCCAACAAGAACTCCTACTCTACAGGGTGATTGAAAAGTAACTTCTCATTTTAAAATACTTATAATTTATTTATTAACTATACTTTTTACAAGAAATGGATAAGGAACTGTTTAGCATGAGGTTTTGTTTAAATTTCGATATGGGCACCGGATTTCGCTACCAGCTTCTCCAGCCGCCCAAGAATCGTGTCAAGTGATTTCACTGGGAACTGTTGTGGTCTGGAAGACATAACTTCTCGTATTCTCTCTTCAAGTGCTTTCAAAGTCTTCGTTTGGTATAGTAAAGTCAGAAATTAAAGTCAGGACACCTGGCTGGCCACTTATACATAAAATAGGAAAATAGGGAATTACTTTTCAATCACCCTGTACATCTTTCTTGCTCTAAACGTCGCAAGTGTTTCGCTGCTCTGTCGTTATTTCAATGGAAAGTGTTCGGAAGAATTGCATTCCTTAGTTCCATTAGTTCTAACCTTTACGACTAAGACCCACTACGGCTATGGGTAAATAGCAGGACAGACTGGGTTCTATAGCCTTGGATGGTAACAGGGTCTAGGAGAAGGAAAACTCTGAATTCAAACCTGCTCTTAGAGGAGGGTGAATGGGGTCTCTCTGAGCCTTGGTTGGCAATTCATTTAGTGTTGGTGTCACGATAAAAACACCCTTGATAGCCCTAGCGAAGCATCAAGAATTCAGCTATTTGACAAGATTATGAACTACACCAATCAAAGTATTGGTGAGTTCAATCTCGGCTGAGGCCGCAAGATGATGATGATGACGCCACGCACATTCTAGCGATCCACCCTAATTCCCTTCCTATTCTACTAGGGAGATCTAAGTTCCAACCGAGCAGCTTCTTCCCACTGACCGATTCTTTGTGAAACTGGCGCCTCAGCAGATACTTCCACGGTCACTACAATCTTAACCTAAGTTAAGTCTAGTTAACCGTTATCTTCCCCAGTCAGTCAGTTATGTGCCATGCGTGATACACGCTTAGGTGATCACGTATCTTTCGATAGATGACTGATGAGGCAGATTTTTTCTTTGTGCGGTAGACCAGTTGCCATCCAAGGCTATAGAACCCGTTTTGCCCTGCTATTTACTCATAGCTAGGTGAGGGAGAAGAAGTGGATTCGTATCTTTCTGAAGGGTATTGGCACGTAAGTGAATGTAATGGCTAAGACTGGAATTCGAATTCGGCTCTCCGATTCCTCAATCCGAGCTGCTATCCATTACTCCACATTTCCCCCAGACACCCGCATAAACGATTCCTCTTACTTTGTAACCTTCTAAGATGAGTGCCTTTCAGGCCTGGTACAGATTGAACATCATTGTAAAAACAAGGATTCTCTTTTCTAACTCTTGTATCTTCATCGACAGCGTGTCACTTGCCAACAGACTGCTTAGTACTGACTGATTATTCTAGAATGAACTCTGACTATCTATGGATCCGTGTGGCATTCATCCCGAAATACTTTATTTATTTTATACTTGTTCTATTTCCTTATTCCATCTTTATGGATTGAGGGTGAATTACCCAATGTGTTACCTCGAATTTCATCACTTTTAACAATGTTATCTAAAAATATTTAAACGTTTGTATGACCATGACACTCTTTGTAATAAATCCAAATCAAGTCCGTATCTTCTGATAATTTTTAAACCCTCCACTAAATTGAACTTGACATCGTGTTGCGTACATGTAGGTCGTAGGTAAATCCCATGACATTTTTTCTACCAACTCCCTAATGAAATAATCGATAACGGCTCGGACTGAGAAATCGGAGAGCCGAGTTCGAATTCCAGTCGAATCCATTACATTCACTTACACGCTAATACCCTTGGGAAAAGTATAAATCCTCCTCTTCCCCCCCCCACCAGTTATGGGTAAATAGCAGGATAGGCCGAGTTCTATAGCCTTCGATGGAAACTGTTCTATCGCAGAAAGAAATGGCAACCTACTGCGAGAAAAAATCTGCCTCGCCAGTCATGTATCGAAAGATACATGATCACCTAAGCGTGTATCACGTATGGCACACAACAGAACAGATCGCATTTGATAAGGCCTACTGTTCATCCAGCACATTACTTTTGACTCCGGCAACTGTAAGTTAAAAACGTATTATTATCGCACACGATTAGCAGCAGTTGGTCTCCTTAAAACGCATTTTCTTCATTGAAAACTTAACATGCATAAATATACACACTGAGCTTTATAATGAAGGCTAATGTCATAAAAAGGGAAATAGATGTGACAGTAAGGCCTCAACAGCAGCAGCAGTAAGAAAAGAGAAACCTCGGTGAAGGCACTCAAGACTGACAATCAGCAGCAGCAGCTATAGAAATCTCAACAGGTTGCTTAGACTTAAAGTTCAACATCCCTAGTGGATTAAAAGCGTTGGTTAGTGAAGGTGGTGACATAATAATCATGAGTTCTATTCATGTGTCGGCTAGTGCGGAGTTATTGGAAACATGGTGAACCATAACTGAACAATGCTAAATAAGAACTAGACGAAATATCCTTAGATATTATCTACCCCGTAGATTAAATGAGATTAATCTATCCTGTAGATTAAATGAAGGGTTCACTTCAAAATTCCCTGGAGGTTATCCTGATAGAAAAGCATCTGATGACGACCGGAGAGCACAACAACTTAGTGTTGTGATATTAAGAACAAGGATATGGATAATAATCCGAGTGTAATCAATGTAAATAAATTCCTTGAATTTTGAAGGTTGAACTGTCAAAATTCTTTCATGTTCTAAACACTAGCTTTACGTTTTGGATTATCATGACGAATCCATTATATACCATTAACCTTGATAGAAAATGAACGAGATAGATGGATAGATAGATAGATAGATAGATAATTAACATAGATAGATAGATAGATAGATAGATAGATAGATAGATAGATAGATAGATAATGAACAGACATAGATAGCAGAAATAAACAGTGAGAGAGAGAAATTAGGAATAGACTGCAACAGAGACATGAAAAAACTGAGATAGATAGATAGATAGATAGATAGATAGATAGATAGATAGATAGATAGATAGATAGATAGATATAAGAAATAAACAGAGAGAGAAAGAGAAAGACATCGAAAACAGACTGAGAGAGAGGCATGAATAAACTAGATAGATAGATAGATAGATAGATAGATAGATAGATAGATAGATAGATAGATATAAACAACAAGGATAGATAGATAGATAGATAGATAGATAGATAGATAGATAGATAGATATAAACAGACAAGGATAGATAGATAGATAGATAGATAGATAGATAGATAGATAGATAGATAGATAGATAGATAGATAGATATAAGAAATAAACAGAGAGAGAAAGAGAAAAACATGGAAAACAGACTGAGAGAGAGGCATGAACAAACTAGATAGATAGATAGATAGATAGATAGATAGATAGATAGATAGATAGATAGATAGATCAATTCGAATTTCCCTAAAGGTTACCCGGATAGACAACTGATGGTCAAACGGTGTGATAATCCCAGCAAAGATTGAAATTAATAATAGCCCGAGTGTAAAAATATAAATATGTATTATTATATAAAATATCTTGTTATTTTTTAATTGCCTGGTTTACATTCATGTTATTTGTTTCAGAAAGCTTGAAACAGGCTGAATATCGATGGACCTCCGCTGCCGATGAAGAGATAAAGATCGTGTGTACTTTCAATTTCACTTTCACGAAAACAGCAGATGACAAAACTGTTTTTTTTTTTTTTGTTTGTTTTTTTACAAATAGATAAGATCAGAACAGATCATTAAAAAACTAGATGCAAAACACGATAAATATTTGACGACCAAACAGAATCGTTGATGAGGATTATTTTCAAGAAACATTTCTGTCTGAGCTCCTTCCTGTTAAGCCTATAAAACCAGGGCTCACGTCTCGACTTGGAAGTAGGGAAATACAACCCCTAAGATTTCTATAAACTATTCATATTTTCTCAAACACATCGACATTGCGAATTACTGAATAAAATAATCAGGTGTGTGTGGGGGGGGGGGGGCGGGCATTAAACATTCACAACTGCTTCAACGATTTAGTAATACACACACACAAATATTCTCTCTCTTTCTCTCACTCACTCACTCACTCACTTATACATGATGATGATGATGATGATGGGTCAATCGGAGTCGGGATTAAAATGTCACTATGAACTTTATGATCTTTTTCTTAGCTGCATAGTATGGACTGCATATAGTTTTGAATTCAAAGTTGTCTTTCTATTAGGATCGTTGCTGACCACAGCTACAGAAAGCAGGCTGCCCCACTATTTATCCATAGTTGGAGTTTTTTTATTAATTCAGAGTTATTCTTCTTCTAGACCGGTTGCCAACCAAAGCTACAGAACCCAGTCTGTCCTACCAGCTACTCATAGCTAGTCATACAAGTGATGGATTTATAACTTTCCCAGCAGTATTTGCACGTAAGTGAATAGTGTAGCGTATGACTCAGCGTACTCCCTTCTCTTCCCTACTACTGTGACAATAGATTGTTCTTACTTATAAATATGGCAAGTAGCTACATTAGAGTAGGATTTGAGGAGTATTTGATTTACTCAAGTCTTTCCGTTCTATGTATGAGTATTTAATAAACCTCTTCTTCTTTGCTTCCTCTACCTAGTCTTCTGTTTCTTTGATACTCCCTCATCTGAGTCCTTTATGTTTCCATTTTCTCTAAAACTTTGTCGTTGGTTAAATGTTCGGTCCATGGTATTCTCAGCATCCTTCTGTAGAATCCCATTGGTATTGCCTCAAGTATCTTGTTCAGCATTCATTGCCGTATAGGAGGACTGATATTAGATAACAATTCAGTACGCTTTTCTTTAATTTTAACGAAAAATTATTTGTTTCTTAATACTTTGCTTAGGTTTTAGAAGGCATCTTTCTCTATCCCAATGCGCCTTCGAATATCTGTGTCACACTCTCCACACTTTGCTAGATATTTAAATGCCTGTACTTGTTTGATTTTGTGATCACCAATTTGTAATTTTAATGTGGGACTGTTCCTTTTTGCTGACAACTATGCATTCTATCTTTTTGCAGTTGGTGCTTAGTCATTTCTTCTTGCTTTCCTTCACTACCTTCTGTAGTTCATGTAGTTTCCTTTCTGTGTCTGTTATTAGCACTGTGTCATTTCTGTTAAGGAGAAAATACGAGCTAAAAAGAAAACTTATAAACAAACGAGTTAGATGAAAAAAATGTGTAACCAGAGAACAACTAAGATGTGAAAAATGTTAAGTCTGTGAAAAAAACTGCCAGGACATGCTTAAAAGAAGGATTGTTGCTTAACTATACAAGCTTTGTTTCGCACACACACAAGCATACGCGCACGTACACACACACAGGTTGTGGACTGGGGCAGGTATTGGCTGGTTAACTTTAATACCTCAAAAACAAAACTGCTCTCTATTACTCACGAGAGAGAACCATACCTAAATTAGAATGTCTGACACTCAACTCCACAAGAGAACCGCTTTGAGACTGCTCGGTCTCACATTCTCTGCTGACCTGAGATGGAACGAATTCATTGAGTCAATAGCTTCATCCACCGCACGAAAAGGCGGCCCCCTGTTCCGCGCCAGGAAATTTTTCTCGCCGGAGTCAATCCTTCAAATCTACAAATCAACCATTCGCCCTTGCATGGAATATTGCTGCAATATATGGTCTGGAGCCCCTTCTGTTGTCTCAAGGTACTCGATAAAATCCAAAGGCCTTGTCACTTCTATTGGAGGAACCCATTCCAGGTTGACCTTCACCACTTATCATCTTTGGCCATACTGGACATTGTTGGGTGGATATAATGTAATTGGCTCTGATCTGGCATCTCGTCTGCAGTCGATCTCTCACAGACGTGCCGTTGCCTCTCTCTGTCTTTTTTACAAATACTTTTACGATAACTGTTCCGATGAGCTGCTTTCGCTGGTTCCCAGACTTCATGAATTTAAGCGTTCAACTAGGCTGGCATCTCGCTCTCACCCTTTCATTGTCGAAACTGTTTAATGTAGCCGTCTCCTCTACTGCAATAGCTTCATGTCTCGCATTTCTCGCCTGTGGAACTCGCTCCCCATTTCTTGTTTTCCTGATAGCTATAATCTCCAACTATTCAAATGTAACGTCAATCGACGTCTCCAGATGTCCCAATCTATCCCCTAAGCTACTCTTTTTCCTCTATCAATCTTCTTTGTTCTCGCTCCAACTCTCTGTAACCCCTTGCGTGCTAATGGCTTTCCGCCTTGCTTGGGGTTGAATGCTTATATATATATATATATATATATATATATATATATATTGTATATGGCAGCTGATCATTATTCAGACATATATTGTTAAATATAACAGACAACGAATGTCTATTATGCTTTATCAGGAACCTTCCTTTCCAAGCTTCGTATATTGCCTTTCATTTCAGTTTTGTTTGTCTGATGATGGCTCATGCGAGCGGACAGCTTTGTATTTATTTTCTCCCGAAATTAAACCCAGTATACGAAACTTGGAACGGCTCCTGATAATACATAATAATATACATTCGTTCTCTCTGTTATATTTAACATATATATTATATATAATATATATGTCTGAATATATATAAATATATATTTAATATAATTATATTATATTAAAGTAAACTCTGTTTCCATCTTCAAGTGTTTTTTGGAATCCCAAAAAAATTGTTTGATGATGGAACAGAGCTGTATTTGATGACATATCTATTTTTAAATAAATAATTATATTTATGCCTACTTTTGTAATTATATTTATGCTGCAGTGTGTGTGTGTGTGTGTGTGTGTGTGTGTGTGTGTGTGTGTGTGTGTGTGCGCAGTGTGCCCAACATACAATGGAGACTCTTGCAGTGGCGAATCATGCTCAGCATCACCTTAGTGACAGGAAGAGCAAAACTTGTATTCGACAGAAGACTGGAGTGATGGACATAATCGAGACCAGCATGATATCAAATACAGAGGGAGCTCAGAGACAACAGGTGCATTATTAGTGCGACAGAGTTAGCACTAAGGCGGTGGAAAAGAACTCGAGGCTAAGATGGCACAACTACCTGACCTGATACATCGACCCAGTAATGACCAGTATGGCCAAAGATGATAAGTGGTGGAGGTCAACCTGGAATGGGTTCCTCCAACAGAAGTGACAAGGCTCTGAATTTTGATTTGGAGGCGCACTTTAAACAAAGGTCTGAAATATTTGCATTGTCTAAGAGACGAATATGTCGTCTCCTGAACGTTATTTTTTTTCCCGGATGTTCACTACTATACACAATAACTTGACTACGACTTGACTGTTGATCTCGATTCCATAATATTTATTATTATTATTATTATTATTATTATTATTATTAATTATATATATATATATATATATATATATATATATATATATAGAGAGAGAGAGAGAGAGAGAGAGGAGGAAAAAACGGGAAAGGGGAGGCAGAGAGGAAGACAAAACTAGAGAAAGATGAAACTGAGATAACGATAAATTGGTACAAAAACTTAGATAGATAGATAGATAGGAGCAGACAGGGGTAGATAGATAGATAGATAGATAGATAGATAGATAGATAGGAGCAGACAGAGATAGATAGATAGATAGATAGATAGATAGATAGATAGGAAGGAGCAGACATAGATAGATAGATAGATAGATAGATAGATAGATAGATAGATAGGAGCTGACAGGGATAGATAGATAGATAGATAGATAGATAGATAGATAATGAACAGACATAGATAGATAGATAGATAGATAGATAGATTCGCACTCATCGTATGTTTTTGTTCATTTCAATACTGTTAAATTACTCCGTTCTAACCATTATTCTATCTTCCTCACTCTAACCTCCCCACCTTCGTCCTCATCCCTTAACACTCTGTTTCACTTCTTTTCTATTTTTCTTCCCATTCTTCCGAACTTCATCAATCTTTACCATCCTTCTGTCACTATATTCTCTGAAAGTTATTCAAAACGTCACACTTAATGGCTTCATCTGCAGTTCCCGAAAATACGATGCTATGCCAGACAACTTAATACCAAGTTATTGTCTAATTGGTAAAATTAGATTCTAATATTTTTCATGATCATATGATTACTGGGGACAGTTTCAAATGGCACGTACTACTACGAGGATGTAAGAACAATACTTTTTTTTTCACCCTCAAATGTACTTCTGAATTAAAATGTTTTTCTCTATCTCTAACGTAATGGATTCCTTTAAAAATATTTCCTATTTTAATAATCATTTATGGAATTATTTTTACCTTAATAATCCAGGCATGACGCAAAATTATAAAGATGACTCACTCAAAATAAAATAAAAAAAAACATGTCTGCAAAATATCCAACTAAAAAATAAGAGTTATCGGTAACTTTGTCAATAGTGTAATCGATTGACCAAAGCAGGATTGATACTCCTTCTTTAGTTTGTCGTACATGAGGTCCAGCTGCTGGAACTACAGTTTACGGTACGGTACGGCCGTGTGGAACAAACTCCTTAGAAATTCCACCAGAGATCAAGATTTTTTTTTCTTTTTTTTTTTTTTTTTTTTACTTTCTGGACAATCTATTAATAAGATCTTTTATATACCATGTCCCTTCAGGGCGTAGAAAAACATGGCACGCCACAACTTCCTATTCCAATTCTTCTGATGAGCTTTCCCCTTTAGTTGATTTGTTTTCTACGGCTTATTACCTCATTTGCTCTTTATTTAACAAATCGCGACATCTATCAGAGAGATGAAATTTAAATTCTTGTTGTTGCGTTGCGGATGTGTGTTGGAGATGAATAGAAGGTTTGAATTATCAGAAGGTTTGAATTATCAGAAGGTTTGAATTATCAGAAGGTTTAAATTGTGTGTGTTCAATAATCTTCCATCCACAACAATTAATAAAAGATAGAGAATAATAAAGATTAATAATGATATTGTTTCAAAATATAACAATTGAATTTATTAGTGTTTGGTATACATGCATGAATACTGAGTGGAAAGGTAGGACAGAG